ATGTACAGGAAGAATGCTGCAAACCTCCATTGAAGAAGAAGCTGAAATCTTGTGTGAGAGTAGTGAAGGGGTTTAACAAGGGAATGGTGGTGGAAGTAAGAAGCGATGAGCAAGGTTACGAAGGTGCGTGGTTCTCTGCAAAGATCGTAAGCTACTTAGGGGGAAACAGATACACAGTGGAGTATCAAACACTGAAAACAGATGATGAAACAGAGTTGTTAACGGAAGAGGCAAGTGCTTCGGATATAAGACCTGTTCCTCCTACATTGATTCAAAGGGCGCGTCAATACGAATTGAACGAAGAAGTGGATGTTTGGTACAACAATGGATGGTGGTCTGGTCAGGTATATACGATAAACAACAACTACACACGATACGGTGTCTACTTCAAAACGACTGATGAGAAATTGGAGTTCGAGTACAGTGATCTAAGGCCTTGCCAAGTGTGGAGAAAAGGGAAATGGAATCTCGACTTAGATAGATGAATAACAGTGATTAGAAAGGTTAAGTTAACGTGACTTTTTTTGTAGTTTTCTTGGTTAAGTATGTTTTTGAAACATAAGTGATGGTGTTAATTTCTGAATTTATATCTTGTCAATGGAAGAGGTCGTGTTTTAAAATGTTACTATTTCTACAACTTCAATTAGATAGAAGAACTAATCGGTTTTGTAGACCAAAACTCACTGACAGTGAAGGCAGATTAACAATGAGGTTGTTTTGTTCCTTTAAAAGCTTGGGGTGGTTTTTAAACAAAGAAAAGGAAAATGGGGTCATACTTATAAAACGCGATTTCCTTAAACCTCAGGGGTTTTTGTTTCTTCTTTAAAATATGGGAGTCGCAAAACACATCATATGTCTCTAGAGTACAATATGTAACTTCTGCTTGGGATTGGATTGCTGCTATCTCTGATACAACTGCTCTTCAGGAAAGTTTTCAGGAAGCAAACAACCTCAGCAGTCATGGACTTAGCCATTTACCATTCTCTAGGGACAAGTTGTGTGGTTCTCCTTGGACTTTTCGCGAGTGGAGAGTGGAAAACATTGCCAAGTGAGATGGGAAACTACAAACTGGGGCAAGTTTCATATGGACAAACGAAGTCCGGTCAGTATCAGCCAAACAGCAGGCGTTATTTTCCTTCACTTACCAGTTCAGCAGGGAAAAGAACCAAAAATCCAATAGACCAGGACAAACGAAGTCCGGTCAATATCAGCCAAACAGCATTATCTCACTCAAACACGTACAGACGGTGGCTCCGGATAGCTCTGTATACATTCTTTGTCATTTCAGGCCAGTCAGTTGCTACAATTCTGCGCAGACTATATACTATGACAACGGAGGAAACAGCAAATGGCTAGCAACAGCGGTTCAGCTTGTAGGCTTTCCTGTTCTGCTTCCATACTACCTCTTGTTATTCAAAACACATACAACAACTCATAAAGATGCCGAAACAGCCTCTCCTTGGAACCGTGTATCGGTTTACGTAGTGCTTGTAGGAGCAGACTACTTGTTCTTCCTTTAGCTACTGATCTTGTGCACTCTCCGGATCAGTCACTACTCGGGAGTTTATAGTCAGGCGGAAGAAACCAAAAAATTCAAAGATGCAAATGCACTACTCTGCATTCATTTTGCAATGCACCTGAAACAGTGAATAGAGGAGTAAGCATCAAAACATGTTTAATGAAAAAAAAATGCAGAGACAGATAGATGCAAGCAGACTGCTACCTGTACTCTATCGGATTGCTTTACCTACCAGTTTTCTACCTATTCCCTGATCTGTGCATCTCAATTTGCCTTTTAACTCTTTTTTTCTCGTATTTCCTCAACTCTCAAAAACTCACTCCTATCATTTTGAATTCTCTTTTCCTCCTAACTATTTCCTCCATCCTCCTTGCATTGCAAAGAATCTGCAAAGCTTCAACCAGATTTAATAAATAACCTGATTCAAATGTTTTTGATGAAAAATCTGAGAACATTAAGGAGGCCTCCTTCACAGCCAACATTAAGCATAGAAAACAGAATTAGTAAATCGGAAGTAGAATTATCCAGTTTCATCCCAAAACAATGCAGAAACAACAACACAAGAAGCCACGAGCTTAGTGGTGGTAAGTCATCCAATTCACTAACAATTTTCTTTTTACTTGGTCCTAACATTTACCTTTTTGCTTCAACATCATCCTGAACAATATTGCATCTTCACTTAGCTCCTGACTCAAGATCAGAAGAATCATCGTCATGGCTGTTGCCCCAAAAGCTTAACCTCTTTCACACTGACCGCTCACTTCCTCTAGTAAAAGGAACAATGCAGAAAGCACACACATGTTCTTGCATCCTCTCACAACCGATACAAAAGCAGTCATAGCCCTTTCAGAGATTCGGACTAGAGATATATCTGCGTGATGATTCCTATTTGTCCATAATCTACTTCTTCCAATAGCCTCGAGAGGTCTCGAGGAGTCAGGACCGCATACTCCGAATCTAGAATCTTGTCTTTTAATCTGTCAGCCATACATCCCATAATACATCTCAGCCATATAATTTTTCGTGCAGATCCACTCATGGTACCACACTTTTTATCCCATTTTCTCAAATCCGATCAATAAAGTCAGAGACTTTTCATTTGTGTCTGACCATGTCACCAGTTCCCAAATTCTGATCTTGATTTAAACTCTGGAATTTTGATTTTAGGCAGGGAAGATCATGAGCTCGGTTGGCGTACGCCGATCAGGGCCGTTATCCAAATGGTTTCATCACCACAAGGAACA